CTTCCAGAAACCTGTGGCCGTCCCTCCGACCCGAGCAATCAACACTCCAAAGGCTTCGATCCACAGCTAACGAGCAGTGACTGGAGCCCTGGCCGGCCGGCCGGCCAGACATATCACCTCATCACGTTTAGAGGCCACGAGGGGACTAAGTGGAAACAATTTCTCTTTAAAGCCACGTTACTGCGATCGCTGAGACCTGCGGGGTCTGTTTTGCCGATCTCTCCTGGAGGTGCGCTCACTTCCTGAATTCTCTCCACAGCACATTCCTTCTGGTCTCAGTCACTGGATTCCCCTCTTACCGCCCAACCCCCCCAACCCCGCTTCCCACTTCTGTGAACTTTCAACATCTTTATAGCAGTTTTCATATTGATACATCTCGGAGTGTTTCACACTAATTGCTGCCACGTGTAGTGACTTTTTTTGTAGTGGCTATTTTGCATACATACGTACAGCCATGAAGTGAGTGACCAATTATTATCTGGGAGGGATTGTCGGCCAGGACCCGGTTGGTGGGGGGAGAGCTCCAGCTGGGTCCAGAATTTACATGGTTCATGTGTAGTTTTGGAGCGTCCAGAATTTGGCAATTTGATGAATTCAGTCCCAACTTTGAAGCTGTTTTTTATCTTTAGTTCTTAAAAGTGACTTACAAAGATGTCTTTAAAATGAGGAATTGCCAAATTCTGGATACCCTGAAACGGGACGTTAATAGAGTAAAATCTAGACCCTGAGTAACTCTGCCGCGTCCAGCAGTGCAGGCTCCGTCACTGTCTTTACACAGAGCCATGCAACTAACTGCATATGGCAAAAATCCTGGGTTGAGTTCAGATGAGGACGGCCCTTCAGCCCAATATGAATCCAGAATCCTTGTCTTCCCATCACATCACATCACAGAGTTGTTTATTTTCAACAAGGACTTTATTTGAAAAAAAGACCACCCTTTTTCTGAGCCTTCCCCCTCCCCTTTCGCCCCCACCGTTCCCATGGGAAATGACTCTTCCGGGAAAGAAAACTTTCCTGGTGTCTATCCTGAAATTTCCCCTCAGGGCAGCGTCTCGGAGCGCTTAACAGTGGCGGAGCCTGACTCCCAGCCGGGGGGAGGTGACCGTAAGCACAGTCAAAGAGAAAGCTCTTCAGTCTTGATCTAAACGAAAGGAATGGAGGGGGCGAGGCGGAGGTTTGGGGGAGAGAGTTCCAAGAGTTTAAAGCAATGCAGCACTGGCTGACTTTTCTCAAATGAATAAAAAAAGAGTCAATGACTCAGATTTTTAAAGAACTTCAAATAAAATAAAGTTAACTGGTTACAGTGAGCTTCCCTGGGCCTATGTGAGGGGAGGAGAGGGGAGGGGAGGGGAAGGCATGTGGGTTTGCTCTCTCGTGTATAATGAGAGACACATGGAAACCATTTCAGACAGACAAAGTTTATTGCAAAAAAAAAGTTATTTATTCCCTGGCGTTTTGTTTTAAATTCTTTTTTTAAAAAAAATCAGCTAACACACTTAAAAACTCAAACTCGCAACTGAAACTTTTTAAAAATGTAAATATAAGGCTATTAAAAGATGTGTTTAAATGTGTGATTTTCGCCCCTTCTCAAAAAAAACAACTGAAACTGGCGGTGGGAGGGGTCGGCAGCGAAGAAACAGCGAGCGGGAGTTGGAAGATTAGGAGGAAGAAAAAAAAAGGGGGTTAATTTTGTTGTGGGGGGGTGGGGGTTCCTTGGGACATCCTTCCCACTTGAAAGGTGCTAAACAAATGTAATTTGTTGTTGTTGTTGTATGTGCAGAGGTTGTTTGGTTAACATTGCTTGATGAAATATTCCCAGAGAATTGCCTTTGCTATGAGCAAAACCAGACTTCGTGACTCAGTTGTTGCTCCAGATTGTAGAGTCCCCATTGTAGAGGGGGGGTGGGGGGAGGAGGGTGGTGAGGGGCGGGTGGGGGGGGAGGAGGGTGGTGAGGGGCGGGTGGGGGGGGAGGAGGGTGGTGAGGGGGGGTGGGGGGGGTGAGGGGGGAGGAGGGTGGGGTGGGGGGTGAGGGGGGGGGGGGGTGGTGGGGGGGGGGGGGGGGGGGGGGAGGGGGGGGAGGGGGGGGTGAGGGGGGTGGGGAGGGGGGGTGGGGGGGGTGAGGGGGGTGGGTGGGGGGTGAGGGGGGGTGGGGGGGGAGGGGGTGGGGGGGTGAGGGGGGAGGAGGGGGGGGGGGTGAGGGGGATTGCCTGTCATTGGCTGGAGCTCTTCGGGCTGATTGAAGACATTGGGGGAGGGGGGAGGTTGGGGGGTGGGAGGGGGGAGACTGCCTTTTTGGTCCACAGAAAAAATAACCCACAACTAAACTCACTGCCTTTTTTACATGAAGAGGCGCCTTTGCTACAGCAAAGTCAGTGTTATAGTGTAATGTCTATGTCTATGTGTTTGGTGTATATATACACATATATAAAATAAAAGGGCGAAGTGGAACCCACAAGAGAGGAAAGAAACGCCACCGCGACCGACAGGTCCTCTCTCCTCTCACATCTCCCTCTGTCTCTCTGTCTGTCTCTCTCTGTCTCTCTGTCTGTCTGTCTGTCTGTCTGTCTCTCTCTCTCTCTCTGTCTGTGTCTCTGTGTCTCTGTCTCTCTCTGTCTGTCTGTCTCTCTCTCTCTCTCTCTCTCTCTGTCTGT